GTGCTTGCTTCTGCCCCTCTATACCCGCAAACTTCTTAATCTCATCTGCCCACCTAACTTTCTGTCTCCCCCTAACCCGCTTGCCTTCTCTGGGAATCCAGTCAGTTACCCTTAATGACCAGCGGTTATCCCGTCTACGCGCTACATGCCCGGCCCATGTCCATTTCCTCTTATTGATTTCAACTATGATATACCCTTAACCGCGGTTTGTTCCCTGATCCACTCTGCTTTCTTCTTGTCTCTTAAGGTTACACCTACCATTTTTCTTTCCATTGCTCGCTGCGTCGTCCTCAATTTAAGCTGAACCCTTTTTGTAAGTCTCCAGGTTTCTGTTCCGTAAGTTACCCTCGATGACCAGTGGTTATTCTGTCTACGCGTTGCCCGGCCCATGTTCATTTCCTCTTTTTGATTTCAACTTTTATATCCTTAAAACCGGTTTTTTCCCCGATCCACTCTGCTCTCTTCTTGTCTTTTAAGGTTACACCTATCATTTTCCGTTCAATAGCTAGCTCGCTGCGTCGTCCTCAATTTAGGCTGAACCCTTTTCGTGAGCCCCCAGGTTTCTGCTCCATAGTTAAGTACTAGCAATATTAGATAGATATTAGATAGATATTAGAAGTTAGATATCGAAAATTCTGTCCCAGTTGGAGGTGCCCAGATGAGACCGCACACGAGGTCCCAGTGGCCATTCCCGATTTCGACAAAGTTTACTATCGGCACCGCTATATGGCCCAAAACAATGACTTCTGATATGTTTTCTGATATTGTTTTTTTTTCTAAGAAAAATTGACAAACCTTGGCTGCATAAAAAACTTCATGGTGAACTTCTAAATTTCTGAACTGTGGTCTCTCCTAGCGAAAAAAAGCGGTGCACTTTTTGGTCACAATATTCATTCATAGCAAATAACAAATGGGATGCAATCTTGTATTTTAATAGGTAAAGTGGAAAACTGCGCGAGTTGGTGCCGATTCATTGTTACTAACAGCGCGAAACCACATAGACTAGAAGTGCTGTGCCATGTCCATATACTTCTAGTCTATCTGTGGTATTGCGTTGCCAGCCACAAAAAATGTTTTATTGCCCTTCGTTGCCGAGGTGCCACGGGAAAAAATCGATAGCACGGTAAATGATGCACAAAACACCTGCAATTTAGAAGTATACGACTGCAGGCAAGTTAAGCCAAGAATAATAGAACTTGCTACACACTGATTATTAGCTGAGCTTCTTCAAAAAAGAACTTTTGTGTTTTTCAAAAATGTGCCGAAACGTGTGTTTACTATACATCTATAGAAAAAAACGATTTGCCAGAAACACCAGTTTAAAATGGTTTTCTCAAAAAAGGTTACTTTTAATTTTTTAAATAAAATCTCTCTGGAACCACGAACGCTTTCTATCGTTATGCATTGAAAAGTGCATTATTTCAGTCGCTGACATGTCATTAGGCGCAAAGTGTAAACAACTTAGCGTATCGTCCTGGCCATTCATTGCATTTCAAATAGTATACAAATTGTTTGAAAAAAAAAACTGTGCACAATATATTCACGAAGCGGCGTCGTGCTAGGGTGGCTAGCCTAATCGGGCGGCACGCTTTGTCTCGCTATCGCCCACTTAGCAAGCCGTTGGTCTATGAATGTGCATGCTCGCGGTGAAGGGCACTCACAACAGGTAAATTCCGCTGCGATTTGTTGTGAACTCTGGTGAAGGAAATTCAGAGGTCGAGTGTGAAAAATGAAAGCGGTCAATCACGAACATTTATTCATATTATGGAGCGAGAACTGTGATGGTATAGTTTGCAGTGAGTGTTGCGTACATGTGTGAATTCCTCTCTTCCGATTATGAATATTTTCCAGGTTAACATAACGTTGCCATGCGTGTATGCGACATCGTTCTGTTCGATGAACTCTTCATTTCTAGGGGTGCATTTTCTTTTTCTTTTTTTATAAATCCCTTCATGCTGTTGCAGCATGCCGCATGGCGTAGGCATTGCGAACTAGAATAATCAGAGATGTGTAGAGGTGGAACCTGTTCTCCCCCAGTGTTCCGTGTTAACTCCGCCCAACTAAAGCACCCAGCATTCCTGCACGCTCATCGACTCTTCAACAGCAAAATAAGTAGAGCAGACAATGCTACGAATTTTTTGGGGAAAAAAAGAGCATTTCTAACAACCATTGCGTCGCCAGTGATGCAATTTTGACGTCAGATAGAATGAAATGAAGATAGGGAGAATAGTCTGCCGTGGTAGAACCTCTGCTTACTAACGATAGACTCCTTCCCAATACTGGAGCCCAAGGTGTGAAAGCGTCACACAAGCGGCTCGCAGCGCGAACCTATATGGCTATACCGCGCATCGTGTGGGGGCCCGGAAGACAACGTTCTCTATAAGAAGCAGGTGATACGTTAAAAAATTGCATTATGCAATTATGCAAGAGCTACTTTGAAAGAGAACTTCGCCTTAGTTTTTGGCTTTTCAGTGTGCTGCAACAGTGACCGCACTCAGAAATAAGCCCCCTTTCCCATTGTAAATGCACTTACTGCCATACAGAGGAAATGCTACACCAATTCATCGAGCCGTGTTCGGTTGAGATTGACCCAAAGTGTCCATTGATCGTCTTTAGTTAAGCCCCCGATTCGTCAACGGTTGTCTTGTGCCTGTGCTGGCCGTCCCTCCCCCCCCCCCCCTCCCCGCAAATTTTTGGTCATGAGTCATCGGGTTCTCTCGCAACACGATCACGCAAATACAACTTTTTGTAGATATCCAGAGTTGAATCATCAGTAAAAAAGAAGATTTATACATAGTGATAAAAAATACATATGAAAGCATTCAGGTATCCAGTGAAGTTTGTAGACTTAAAGTTATGTATTGACTTATTTAACATCATCAAAATATCGCCGCTGCTTACAGCGCATGTTCTGTCTGTCCTCCTGCTATTGTAGCGTTGTTCGGGCATTTTCATTAAACTTATTTTCGTATGCGTAATACCAGTGATACGTTTTTTTTCTCTGTTGTAGCTGAGATATATTCTTTCTTCATATATTCATAGTTCATTCTGAGAAAAATTTACAGTTCCTGCATGTGCACCATCGAAATAACGAGGCGATGAGAGACAAGGGTGTCTGCGTCTAACCGCATGTGTAAAAACCATCGAGTGAATAAAGCGATCGTTTATTTTGTGGCAGAGTAGGATGCATACTTTGCAGCTTTGAATTAACTTTATTAATTAGTGCCTCGGAAGAATTGATAGACGATATGTGGAGTTTAACGTCTCAAAACCCCAATATGATTATGAGAAACGCCGTAGTGGAGGGCTCCGGAAATTTCGACCACCTGGGGTTCTTTAACGTGCACCCAAATCTTGAGCACACGGGCCTACAGGATTTGCGCCTCCACCGGAAATGTAGCCGTTGAAGCCGGTATTCGATCCTGTAACTTGCGGGTCAGCAGCCCAGTACATTATTCACTATAGACCGCCGCGTTGGGGCTGCCTCGTAGAAGTTGTTTAAATAATGACACATCATATATATCGAATGTGGCGTATATATGGTACAGGCATCATCAACCACAGTACAAAAACAATAACTGGAGGAAGATAATAGAAGGGGAGAACCATTCATAGAACCATTCATTCATGGGTGCGTTAACTCAAAGTCGGTATATGCTGTCATCTAGCAAAGAATACAATTTCCGCAATTATGGTTGTAGGAGGTGAAGGAAGAGCCTTAATTTTGTGGCGTGCGCAGTGATGTGGTTGATTGGCTATATGTGTCAGAAGTGCGTTTTTATTTATAAAGTTGTTATGAATTCAGAACGCTGGCGGGTTTTCGCTTCTTGTCTTTATCGTGATTGCATGCTGGTCCCGAGGCTGCAATCATGAACGAACAGATTGACAGAACTGGTTTCGGGGACTTTGATAAATGTTAAGCAAACTATTCCATGCTGAATGGGTACGTCTGTCATGTTGCGGCGGCTTACCATCACTGCATCACATTTAGTGGAGACGCCTAAACAAACCACCAAATTTATATACATTTTAGGTCAGTACAATCTCTATAGTACCTTCGACCAATGGGAGGCGCAGATCTCCCGTTATGACCCGGAGGTACAGCTTGCGTTCCCGGGTCATGTCAGGCAGGCGGAACTATCCAGAGGGGCCCTGGACTTCGGGCTCCACCAATCGAGCTCGTATTCCCGTATCGCAAACCCTTATGAATAAAGTTATGAGCACATTAGAGTCCTCAAACAAGTAAGCAAAGACTAACTCGAACTTCTAGCTTTACAAAAACTGAAGCGAGCATTTGAGAACGCTGCAGCGGTTTGCTTGCATGCACTGACGTTATCCTGTACGTCATGTCAGAGGATTTCAACGATGAAATCAGCTTCTGTGATGTTCAATGCTCACTTACACGAAGAGAGAAAGGGAAAAAAACGGGTAAGTTCTTTTTGTTGGTTCGCTCGAGCAACGAGGTGACCGTATTCATGAGATGAAAAAGTCTGTAAACAGGGGAATCTAGCCGACTTTTCGACAAGTGGGCTTCTCTTCAAGTCTGGCCAAATCCAACGTCGGTTGGAGCACACAGTTCCCCTGTTAACGGATTTTTTTTTCATCGCAATTTCCCATCTTCCTGTCGTTTTTCGTATTCATGAGAGTCTTTCTTGTCGGGTAATGAAACATAGACCGCGGTAGGAAGATGTTCTGCGTAAGAATGGAAGCTTGAGCGAGTTGGTATGCGTTCATCTTGGTTGAGCAGCGCACACGAGACAACGACGAAGTAAAAGAACACAGACAGGCGCTTAATCGCAACAAACATTTATTTGAGAAAGAACAGGTGATATATAGCTGAAGTGCAACTTAACAGAAAATGCCAACAGAAATCGTCTGTTCTTCCCAAATAACTGTTAGTTTCGGGTCAGTGCATGTCTGCGTTCTTTTACATCGTCGTCGTCTCGTGCGCGCTGCTGAACCAAGATGAAGATGATGTTTTGCGGGCGGCGACGCAGGCGGCGTTCGCTGCGACCGGCGGGCGGGCCGAGCATGACGCAGTCGTCGGACCGCATCTGGGAACTGCTGTCCACGTCGCCAGTGCGCGTGCGTAACCTGGAGCAGGACATGGAAGCGCTGCGCCAGTCGCGCCACGACAACCCGTACCTGCAGCAGCAGATGGAGCGATTCTCGATTCAGGACGAGCCGGCAGCCGATGAGCGACAGCTACTCTTCCCACCCGACGACATAAGCGACCTGCACAAGCACCTGATACGCAGCCCACCGCCGCAGTTCCCGCAAGACGTGGCCCACTTCGTCTTCCCAGGATCACCGCCGCCCGTGAGTATATATACCTGAAATATGGGTTTGCACAATTTTACCTCTACAGGTGCACCAGACCCGACTAGTCTAGACTTGGGCTTTATCTATAAGATTATCACATGACGGGCGTCACGACGCGCCTGTCTGCATAGCATCGCAAATCTGTCAAAGCAGGGCATAGCGAGGTTCAAAAAGATTCGAGTTTGTCAACTCGAGCGAGTGTGGTGTCTGTGTTTCTTCAGAAGGACAAGACAGGGCGTTCTCATCAATAATGTGTCTAACAAAATAAGAAGAAAATTCATGATTTGGGGATGCGTAAAAATTGAACTATAGTTGAATATAACTGCGGCGTTTCCTCCCCAATGGTGGATCACACAATCCTGTGCCAATTGGTGGAATGTCGTCTCCGCCTTCTGAAAACACTGCCGAGTGCACAAGAGGAACTATTGCTTTAGTCACGGAGACCATCGGCTGCCGCCACACTTCGGTCGTTTGAGCGGGCCATCTCAAGTTGTATGGATATTTGGGACAATCCATAATGCACAAACAGCCTTCAAAAGTGGTCTTCAAAATCAGTGCCTCAACAAAAAGAAGTGTGTGTGGTATATACGGGCAGATATATGTTACCTAAATCATCCACAGAGGCCATGGCACTGTGCTGCCAAATTAACACATGCGAAAATATACAGGGTGTTTATTAAACGCAGTCGAAAAGTAAACACTTCTTCCCAGGTGTAATAACACTTTTGAGACTGATCAACAAAAACTTGCTAACTTTTTAATTATTGACTGAGGGGCAGTTGTTTGTATCAGAAAGTCGCAGTGAATGCTAATTTGTGGCACACCCGTTTTTAGATGTCACAAAAGCTACACTCTAGTGAATGAATAAAATATTAAAGATTTTTGTCAATTAGTGGTGTCCATGTCATTTGTCGTGCGCAAAAATATTTCCGCCTCGACTTAGAGTTCATGCGCGAAAACGACAAAAGCCTTGCTGCGATAGAATTTTTATTTTTTTAAATGTGTATTGTCTTTAAAAAACTGTTAATACATTACTATTACTCTCTGTCGGCGATGCCGAAATTCCTGAGAAATGATTCCTACATACAGTCCAGATTGTGATTATAAGAGGGAAAAGAAGAGAAAAGTGAGCCCCGCAACTGTCTGCATCAGCATGCGACACCTCAACAGTAGCTCACAAAGAATGGGGGTGAGGAGGGATTAAAAGGATAGGATTAAAGGTAGAGAGAGAGAGAGAGAGAGAGATGCGCAAGGACAGCGAGCGACGACATAAGAGAGATTCTCCTCTTATTATGTGATCTGCTACATGACCGCTGTTCATGAACTTTGTGTTTTTGTAACTACTGCGGAAGTCCACTTTTTTGTACTGCCCCCTTACACAACGCCTCAACAAAGACCTATAAGGTATTTTTATATAAATAAATAAATAAATAAATAAATAAATAAATAAATAAATAAATAAATAGGAAAGATGGAAACACGGTTGCAGAAGTCCGAGGACGGGGCACCACTTGCGAGAGCTCTTGTCGGCGAGAGGAGATGGCGTAGGGCTAATCCAGTCGCAATAGAATGGAAAGGTTCTTCGCTAGTTGGTAATTCATGATGGTTCAGCGAACTGAGAGCGTGGGGCTATCATCTTATTCCTGTTGACATGCGCACTCTTGTGTACTTATGTGTCCTTCAAACATGAGAATAAACCAGTTGTTAGTTGAGTGTGCCTCTTCTTTGCTTTGTGTCTGTGTTTACCCCCGCGCTCCCAGTTCGCTGAACTAATCCAGTCGGCCAGAGCTGCGCTGACGTCGTCATAGGGGACCGGCGGCAGGAGGTGGCGTATGACCAACGCAGTCGGCCAAAGCTGCGCTGTCGTCGGAGATTGCGAGGGCACAACTGGTCGGCACGGAATCCAGCCAGCGAGTCTATACGGTCCAGTTCTAGACTTACACGTACAAAGCGCTGAGGGCTTTCAACGTCATAGGGGACCGGCGGCAGGAGGTGGCGAATGACCAACCCAGTCGGCCAAAGCTGCGCTGTCGTCGGAGATCGCGAGGGCACAACCGGTCGGCACGGAATCCAGCCAGCGAGTCTATACGGCCCAGTTCTAGACTTACACGTACAAAGCGCTGAGGGCTTTCAAATTGTCATAGAGTGTCACTGAAAGTGGTGCATTAGCACCAACAAATAAAGACACAAGTTTACGGAGGGCATGGCTAAGTTCAAAAAGCAAAAGAGTTTGAAAAAAGTTATTAAACCTATTTTGAAAGGGTGCAAATAACCTTAAGCGACGAAGGTCATTGTATCGTTTGTAACGCTGATTCCTTCAAGTTTGGTATTGTAGTGCCATCATCACCATCATCATTTTTTCCATCACCGCGCCGCGTGTCTCGCGCAGCTGGCGCGAGCTCGAGCTGCGCGAGAATTAGAACGAGCTTACACGCCTGGCGTGGCGGACGCTGGTAGCCGACGTGGCTCCGCTTCAGGCCTGCAATAAAGTGGCGAGATCGGCACGGCCCCATCGGCCGCCTTCGACGTCATCTCACGTCTCTCCTTCTCTCGCCGCTACATTGGTGACCCGGAGAACACGCCCTTCGCCGAGCGGCCCGCGGCCATGTTCCCGCAACTCTGCCCGCCAGTGCCGCCGTTTCAATCGACCTACCCCAAGGTATGGTTCATGCAGCTCGATGCCGTTCTGGCGCTGAATGACGTCACGGACCAGCTGCAGATGCACGCCATTCTTCTCGACGCCCTCCCGGTAGAGTTGCGCCATCTCGCTGCCACTTCAAGCACCAGCTCGCAGCCTTACGATGCTCTCTGCACTGCGGTGCTCGCCCGCAGCGGCAACACATACCGTCCGCTTCCGTTTACCCGCACCAGGCAGGTTTCCCCGGCGTCGCAGAGCAAGGTACGCACGCAAGCGCACGCAGAGCAAGCGACGGCACGTGACACCGTGGCCCTCGCCGTTTCCGCGACCACCAGCTCAGACGTCTCGGCCTCCTCCTCGCCGCAGCTGCTGGTCAGCTCCTCGACGGTGCCCCCTGCCGCTCCGCCACCTGCCACTGGTGCCAGCAATGGCCTGCCGGGTGCCTCGCCACATTCCACTCGCACCTCCCCGGCCAGCAGCCGACCACCCTCGGCGTCCCCGCTCCCCGCCCCTGTCCCTGTCCCTGTTTCGTGGTCTATGACGGGCCCCAGCGCCGTGTCTTCGCGGAGCCAGAGCCTGCCCTCATCGTCGGCGTCGACACCGGCAACCACCAAAGCAACTGCCACCGTCGCCCCTCTGCCCGTGGCGCCGCAGCAGGCACCTGCGTCGAGACCAGGCGTCGCACAGGTGGTTTCGGCCAGCCCCAGTCCTCGCACCTCTGGTTCCCCTCGGCTCATCCAGCCGAAACAGCCACAGATCCTGCCCAAGCTGTCGAGCGGCAGCGCGAACATGACGACGCCTTCGGCAGCGGCGACCACCCGGTCCCAGTCTCCTCGGGCGGCCCAGCACAAGGCCACACCGCGGCCCGCGCCTGTACCGGCGCCGCAGCCTGCGACCACGGTGCAGCGCGGAGCCGCGATGGGGCTCAACACGGGGAGTCCGCTGCTCATCGGGAACCCCGCGGCAGCGCAGCCGGGCATGTTTCCGGCTGGACCTGCGCACGGCACTTTCCTGTTGAACCAGTACATTCCGGGCCTGGGCCACAGCCCGATTCTGATACAAGGCGCACTGGGGCAGACCCAGAGCTCTCTGGGACAGATACAGGGGGTCCAGCTGGCCCTGCGGCCACCCCATGCCACGGGCCGGACCCTGGGACCTCAGACGGGGCCCAGGCCCCATGGGGGACATCCAGGACTGCCTGGCACCCCGACGCTTGTCATTCCACAGAACCTGGGGCTAAGGCCCAACATCTTTCTGGCACTGCCACTCATGATGTCGCCCCCCTCGTTTGCCATAGTCCCGGGACAGCCACTGACGCTGCAACAGCTGCAGGCCATGCTGCCCACGCAGACCATGCTGGCCCAGCCCACACTGGGTGCGTTCCAGACAGACCAGCACCAATCCCTGGTGCAGATACCGACGTTCACCCAGCCGCAGATACTGGCGCATGCCCACCATAACCACCACCACCACCACCATCATGGCGCCCTGTCGGGACCTCTAATCTCAACAGGCGGCAGTATAGTGTCCTCTGCACCCAGCGCCGACATTGTCACCCACCATCCTGTCATGACCTCGCGACAAACGGTCCACTCTCGGCCTTTCCGACCAGGTCACCGTGAGACCCGCTTGTCGGCTGCCACAGCGACCCGGCACTTCCTCCTGCGTCCTCTGCGCAACTCCCAGAGTCGCCCACCAGAGACACACTGCTTACCGATGGCCTATAAACGTTGACAACCTGGACTTGCCAAATGAACACTTTATGGATTGCCGTTCATGTATATAGCATTTGTCACTCTCTTTCTTTTTCACATGGCGTTCAAATCGCGCAAAGCGCTAGGGGGGGGAGCCCTGTAGTGCCATCATCACCATCATCATTTTTTCCATCACCGCGCCGCGTCTCTCGCGCAGCTGGCGCGAGCTCGAGCTGCGCGAGAATTAGAACGAGCTTACACGCCTGGCGTGGCGGACGCTGGTAGCCGACGTGGCTCCGCTTCAGGCCTGCAATAAAGTGGCGAGATCGGCACGGCCCCATCGGCCGCCTTCGACGTCATCTCACGTCTCTCCTTCTCTCGCCGCTACAGTATAATGTACCCACCAACGCACTTCAACACTCTATATACTGTTTTACACAAAATATGAACGGTCACGCGAATTTATGGCGTATAAAGCAGCGACACTACGCAAGTATCCCACATGAACAGTTCATTTTTGTCCTGGTGTAAATATAGAACAACCAAGCAGCGTCCTTATGCCTCGAGTGACATATAGTGTTTACCACGGCGATTGATGTTCTATACAAGAACGTTTCACAGCAACAGCAGATAACATTGCCTTTGTGTTCTGTGCAGACAAGAATGGCTAAGGCGAGCTCGAAGCGCTGAAGAAAATAGCAGGAGGAATGGGCACGTATATATACCAGAAACAGCTGCATGTATTGTCTATGAAAAGTCGGGCATATAAGTGTCTGAAGAAGGTGCACGAGAATGACGATGAAAGAAGACATTTTCCGAAAGCAGTTTGTTGTACGCTTGAAGAAGATGGAAACACAAGAAGTTACCGCACGGGATACAGGCGCAGGATGCTGCGGTAGTTCATCCTCCTGGAAAAATGCCAACGATCTAGTCAAGGGGAAACGAGAGCTTTACAAGCTTGGGGGCCAATGCACTGAGGAATTCTTGCTTCTGCATTCTTAAACAAGCCTCGAATTGCCCTTCACTCGAGCTAGTTGTGTGCAGAACCTGACTTGAAGGTGATGTTTCGCTTGCGAGGGATCCCTGCCCCTTCTTGCCGGGGACGGCATCGTCGTGTTTGCCGAGTCGAAGTTGAGCGTTGGGGGACGTTGTAGAATACGAGGGTTAATCAGACTGAATGTAATGAATTTTGAAAGGTTTAAAAACAACCTAATTCATCAAACAGCCTCAGTCAATGCTAATTGGGAGGGTGAGATTTTCTAGTCCTGTATTGTTGGGTGGGTCCAGTAGTGGGGTGCTATACGTCGGGGTGATTGCGACCTAATCGATTGAATACGGTGGAAAAATGAAACAATATCGGCTGGAGAAAAAGTGGAAAGAGAATACCGTGCAAGAATTTCGCACCAAGATGCTGAGGTAAGACGCGCACACTGATTAGTTTAACAAGAACAAACATACATGGATGTGGCTTGCAGCAACAGCTTACATTTAAAAAATATATGTATCTTCTTGCTCAATGAACCACCTCTCGCGCATCATACTGACGCTAGCTACTACAAAGAACACACGCATTTCGCGAACGTAACTTCGAAAAAAGCTAGAATATAGGCCATTTTGCTTTGCACTAGTGCAGTCCGCGTTAGCAAACTTGTCTTCCTAGGCAATAAACTTTTTGACAAGTCCTGTGTATGGGCCTGTCGTCCTTTAGCAGCCCACACAACTGCACAAGAGCTTGATAAACCACCACTGCCTTGGCTTCTTGTAACGGTCGATCCGTCTCGATCACTGCATGCAAAAAGATCCCCTGACATCGCCCACTCGAGCCTCGTAAAGCTTACGGAGCACTATAAAACTGTTAAAAACACACTACAACGTATCATTGGTTTGACCTCAGCCTGATAAACTGAGTCGCACGCTATACCTAGCAGCCGAGTGTCTTTAGACCACCGCGGTGGAACAAAAGTTTCCGTCTGGGCATCGCTTATGTCATATAGGTCGGCGAACCGACTCATGAGTCCGCACATTAGGACTCACTGAGTCTCATATCAAGCCGTAAGTCCGAACGTGTCCGGGTGAGTAATATTTTGGAGAGGGTGAGTCCGAGTGAGTTCGGATGAGGAAAATTTGGGCAAACACGAGTCCCAGCGAGACCTAAACGCTATATACATATCATGATATCAGCGTCCGAGTGAGCTGCACAATTTCCGCTGGCCTATGCTTGTGGCAATCGTATTTTTGCGCCCCGTCAACCACAGCTGCACGTATGAATGAGTGCAAGCTTTTGTACAATGTTCCAACGAAACGCGTGCACGTCATGGTTGCATGTTCATTTACGCACGAGATTACACGTGGCATTATAAATGGGCTGGGGGCTTTATGAGTGGCCACAGTGGTAAGTAAAAGTGGTTGCATTTTTGTCTTTGTTTGGGGAACGGGGTTGCATAAATTTGCGCAACGCACGCAATCATGAGCGACATGGCGGTGCAGGAGGACGAGACCATGATGGAACCCGAGATGCTAGGCCACGCCGGGCCCTACAGCACCGAGACGATGCGCCAGGTACCCCAGGAAACGCGCGACCATCAGATGTCCAGCTACCAGGCAGACGACGTGCATCGCGGCTTGGCTCGCGCCGCAGCCGCTACCCGGTGAAAGGCGGCGGCGCCCCGGCCGGCTCGCCGGCTGCTCCGCAATTCTCAAGCGGTCGCCGGTGAGCCGAGCGCGTGCGGACTCTTGGACTCACTGACATCTGCGGTGACGATGCGCAAGACGTCCTTCGGATGTGCTACGGACTGGACAGGGACGTCCATCGCTTCACACAGCACCTTTCGTCAGCAACGGCTTTCAAGAGTCGCTCACAGCCGCCGTGGGTCCTGGACAGGGCGAAACGTATTCAAAAACCGTGCGCCCGAACGTTTAAGAGCATTACATCTTTAAGAGATGATCTTACAAAGGTGGCAGTAGTATTGATCAGATTGCATGTTTATTCTTGGTAGGGAAAAAAAAACTGAGCCGGCCTTTCAGCGGAATGCCATTCTTTGCTTTGAAGTGCTGTAGGTGTATGGTGGAAGCACAGTTGTAGTCGCGACATGGCCAAAAAAGAAGCTGCCATCTTTGCATTGGCCCATGCTTGTTGGAATATGCTGTCTCAGCAAGGGATAAAATTGTGCCATAACTGTCCGAGCCACTGCTAGCGTGGGGTCTGCATGCGGTGCGGGTATTGAGGGGCCTTACTGGCGTGAGCGGCTGGTGCTAACCTCTCAAAGAATGTTCCAGACCGTTGGAGACTGTGGTGCGAAGACTTGCAAAGTGTTGTGGAGAGGTAGCATTGCAATAGCTGTACAGTTTACACCATAGAAAAAAACAAAACAACAACACGCAGGCATTCAGCGAATTGTACAAACCAGGGGCGTAATTCACAAAGATCTTTGTTGCTTGCCTGCATCTCTTCCTTTAGGTGCGAGACAGGATGAAACAGAGTGGTTGATAGTTTAACGGCCGTCTTCACTAAATGTTAGAGTATCGTGAGGTGGTTACGTATGTCTTTAGAGACTGCAGCAGCGATTGTACGAAATGCTTTGTAAAAACAAACCGGGTTTTCGTTTTTGCTCACGTCTGGACGTTCAGACGCAAAAAGCGGTGACCGCGCATGATAGGCTGCGCCGCTCTCCTGTATTTTTTTCGCCCTTCTTGAAATGGCAAAGTACGTTCACCTATCGCGTGAAAGGTGTTTGGCCCCTTGTGGTTGTGTGTGTGACGTTCGCAGTACCACAGAATTGTTCATGACGCTTGAAAGAGCGACCATTAACGGAAGTGTGGAAGCCCGAACCATGCAGAGGGAACTCAGGCGACTTGATTGAATAAGTTTTATTTTCTTGTTGCTAAACGTATTTGTCCCTGTTGTTTCGGCTGCAGTTAACACGCGGCGTTCTTTGCGACTCTAGCCGCATATGACGCCCCGAGCGCGGCATCGAGAGATTACTATTAAGCTAGTTTAGTAGCTAACGCAGATTGTGCTAACGTTCTCGTGACGACTAACATGCCTTGTATGCAAGTACAGGTCGACATAGAGTTGATTAGCAGTCGAATATCATACCAGCGCATAACTAAACTTGTCGCTTCTGTGCACACAAGAGGTCCCCAATGCTTTTGGCTTGTTTTTGCAATATAGGAGTACAACAGCCATACGCATTATTTCCTGCAATTTAGAGCCAAAAAAATCGATCGCTCTGGCACTACAATGCTCATTTGGACATTGCACCAGAAGAGCCCCAAAATAACAGAAGCTTGTGCCCTATTCCGGTGTGACCACACTAATTGTATGACCAAGATGAGCTAGTCAAGTTACACTTAAGATGTGACAGGACAATATTAACGCGGCAACACGTCCTCGGGATGTTAGCAAATTCCTCGACAATTTCGATGGTGACATCAGCTGTGCGCCTCAACATTTCCCGTTGCGCGTTTCAACAGGAAGCGTTTTTCGCGTGCCAACGACCGCGGTAGCCCGCGTGAATTAGCAGTCCGAGGAGTCTTCCGCAACGCACCACTTGTTTCCAACACAAGTTGCGCTTAGGGTGGGAAGTAAGGGCTTGTCTCCTGAAAAAAGTTCAAGCTGAAATATCGCGTTGTAAACTCTCTCTCATGTGCGTGACATGTGTTCTAACGTAAAAGAGGATCAACAAATCTTCTAGTCGCAGACGCTCATGTGCCAAAGGAATGCGTCACTTCTGTGTGGAGTGGGCATTAGCGTGTCGTTGTGCATGCCAGCCGCGTAGATATATATAGTTGCCGAGGGAAGGCAATCCCTGTGCGAAAACCTACGGCTCAGATCCACGGCGGGCGTTCGGTATCGCGGGTGCGTGCTTCGGCCGTGTGACCTACTGTAGCGCCGCATCGTTTGAGCTATAGGTATGCCACAGAAACCTCTGCGTGACCGGTCGGTGGTTCTGCGCGCTACATGTCAAGATTCTCCGGATGATGCAGAAGCTTACAAAGCCGCTTGTTTTCGAGTTGACCGAAACGAAAGTGCGGCGTGGTTCAGCTGTCCCACACGATAGCCTCACGGGCTGGCCGTGTACATAGCGTCTCCTGCCACTGCTGTAACCCGACGCGGTTCTTCAGAGCTTGTCGAATAAAGAGTTTGTTACCTACACAAGAGTCGACTTGTCTCCGAATAAACAGCGGCGTGCTGTACGCCCATGGTTCCTGAGTAGGCCTGTATTGTACGTATAGGTATGTACAACACGCTAATTATATCATCATCATCATCATCATTATCATCATCATCAGCCTGACTACGTCCACTGCAGGACAAAGGCCTCTCCCATGTTCCGCCAGTTAACCCGGTCCTGTGCTTGCTGCTTCCAATTTATACCCGCAAACTTCTTAATCTCATCTGCCCACCTAACCTTCTGTCTCCCCCTAACCCACTTCCCTTCTCTGGGAATACAGTCAGTTACCCTTAATGACCAGCGGTTATCCTGTCTACGCGCTACATGCCCTGCCCATGTCCATTTCTTCTTCTTGATTTCAGCTATGATATCCTTAACCCCCGTTTGTTCCCTAATCCACTCTGCTCTCTTCTTGTCTCTTAAGGTTACACCTACCATTTTTCTTTCCATTGCTCGCTGCGTTGTCCTTAATTTAAGCTGAAACCTCTTTGTAAGTCTCCAGGTTTCTGCTCCGTAGCTAAGTACCGGCAAGATACAGCTGTTATATACCTTCCTCTTGAGGGATAGTGGCAATCTACCTGTCATAATTTGAGAGTGCTTGCCGAATGTGCTCCACCCTATTCTTATTCTTCTAGTTACTTCAATCTCGTGGTTCGGCTCTGCGGTTATTACCTGCCCTAAGTAGACATAGTCTTTTACAACTTCAAGTGCACTATTACCTATCTCGAAGCGCTGCTCTTTGCCGAGGTTGTTGTACATTACTTTCGTAATTATATAATACTGCTAATTATATAGTTGAGGTTTTAAGTTCCAAAATACTGATATGATTGAGAGACCACGTAGGGTTCTTTAACTTTCACCTAAATCTGAGCACGCCGGCTTTTACCTTTCCCGTCCTCCGAATTGCGGCCGCAATGGCCAGCATTCAAATCCCACGGGATCAATCTTGAAACCAGCGTGGCGGTAGCCTAGTTCTCGTTGGCGAGTTTTTAGTTAACATCTACGCCTTCCTAAAGGCTATAACTAATTATGTGAACTACGATCATAACTGCTGCAACACGGCCACGCAGTGAAGGAAGGCACAATGGACACGCGGCTAACGAGGAAAGTTTATACCAAACTGCTCAAGAATGCATTGGTGCTGGAAGTAACAGTATATGCTACGAAGGGGTGAATTTGCGTTCTCAAGGATATTCTGCAGCTGCAAATCATGGGCGGTTCTTTGTCTGTAAAATACAGTAAAGTATACGACATGTGATATGCACATCCTGTGGTGGACAAATTTAGAATGGCTTTAGAATTTAGAATGGATTTAGAATGGCTCGTTGGTACATTATTCTGGAGCACTGCAGTGCGCAAAACACACGACGGACGGGACACAAACGACGACGACGAGCGTTGAAATTTCAGCGCTCGTCGCAGTCATTTGAGTTCTGTTCATTGTCTTTTTTTTTGACGGCAAAATATAAATGAAAGACGATGGAAGTTTCTCTGGTGCCTAAGCTCACTGCTGTGTGCGAAATGGCGTGAAGAGACCCACCGCATGCAGCATCATGGTGTCTTTTCTGTTTACGAGAGCACAAACAGTACAAAGCTGTACGCAGTATTCCACTTGTTCCCCAACCATGTTTCCAGTACTTTTTTCTTGTCGTTTGAAAACCTCTCGAACGAGAGATGCTGTGTAAGGCTACCCATCATCCCATCACACGAGGCGGTTTTCCACCAAAGGCATAGGTGTATAGTCAAAAGAGTGCAGGTTCACCCCCCCCCGCCCCCCCCCCCCTCAAAAAAAAATTAGTCTGGCTACAAACGCACACGAACATGCACAAAGTATGGTTACTCCCCCATCCTCCCATCGACGCAAATTTCTCGCTATGCGACTGACGCAAAGAATTCCTGGACAGTACTGTAAAGGGTAGAGAAGTTAATGGCAGGAACGGCAGGCTTCTCTTTAGGGTAGCTGGCACCCCGCCGTCGTCCGCATAGCTGATCTTCGCCATTGAGGAGACGCGTTAGGAGAGGTAGAACGAAGATTTATTTACATTATAAAAGAAAGATAGCAACTATACAGGGATCCGGAAGATCCCGCATTATGTACAACAGAGTTTCAGCTCATGATTCCGTACAGGATTCAGCTCAAGATTCAGCACTATTTACAAGAATGCTTCTGCTTTTATAGCCCACCGTCACCGCCGATGACTCTTGCCACACAGCAGGGGACAAAGTCTTTGTTGTCCACCCACCAGAAAGGGTGCAGATATCACCACTCGGCTGGGCGAAACAGTCCAATGGTAACAGGAACGCACCACACAGAGACGCACCCGGCCTACGCCTTGAAGGCACCGCAGGGCGAGTAGGTAGAGTCCGGAGAGGGAAAGTTGAGCTCCTCCGGGGAGATGGCTGCTAACCCGACTGTCAGCAGCGGTCCTCGCTGCTTTCAGCTTCAGGCCGTCCAAACGTTCGATTCCGGTGAACGGCTTCTTCGACGCGTTCCCACGCTTCCAGGCTGTTGGTGCGTTGAGAAGGCCTCACATAGATGACAAAAGGCGAGTCAAGAGGTTGACTTAAAGAGACCCGCCACAGTGGCGCCGTTCCCCCCCCCCCCCTCACTGTTCAAGCCCGTTCCACAAAAGGCTTGCCTCGCGAAGCTTTCGTTGAGACCCGACTGTTTTCTGGAACATCTACCGGACAGCGTCTTGCAGACTGAGCGCCTATGGGGTTGAAAGCCTCCCTAGTGGATCAGCTTACGCACAATGGCGTCTGCCCAGACAAATTGCCGGGCCAAACGTAACAGTACTTTTTGGCCTCACCTAACTGCTGCAGTGGTGCTTTATATTCGCGCAGTGCGAGGTACATTAGAAGAACTATTGAAACGCACCTTTACATTTTTTTTTTCAATTTCCGAAATGTTCCTTGAGTCAGTACAAGCATAACTCGACTACGTTAGGATAGAAAAAAAGGTTCGCAAGGGCTAGGGAGAGAGCTAAGGAGACAAAAAAGTACAACGGCGCCGGTATACACACACTCGCTGCCATACAGTTTTAGACTATATATATATATATATATATATATATATATATATATATATATATATATATATATATATTGCTGCGACAGGTTCGCCACATTCAAGTAGCCCGCCACAATCATCGTGGCACTAGCACCAGCAAGACCCGGCTCGGCTGGCATGCGCCACGCGTTCGCACGTTCAACAACGAGGAAGAGGAAGATAGTCGGATCGGTGCCACTCGGCTACTCGAACTTGACGACCATAGTTTTTTAGAATCGTGGGCACAAGTTCGCCCTAATAAAGACGCTTGTTTTCTTAACCTGTTGGCGTCAGCATCGCTACATTTCTGGGGGAGGTGCGGGGTTATGAATCGAAGCCTCACGAGCTCAAGACAGCGTAGCCCCGACGACCAGCGTATCAACCCCGTGGAAGTGACTCCTGTACACCAGAGGGCAAGTCGCCGTCTTCGAGGTGACTCACCTGAGTTCGGTCCTCTTCACTTCACACCAAGGGGAATTCAAACGATGGATGCCACCACTATGACTAGCCAGGTAACACCGGCACAAGTGTTCATTAGCCAACCGCACCAGCCGCCAGTTTTTCACGGCGACTCGTACGAGGATGTTGAAGATTGGTTGGACCTGTTCGAGAGAGTAGCGAGCTTGAATGGATGGGACGAAAGAGAGAAGCTCCGTCGCGTATACTTCGCCCTGGAAGACTTCGCGAAGACATGGTTTGAGAACCATGAAACCTCGTTGTCTACCTGGGAGGTATTTCGACGACAAGCGGTGGCCACGTTCGCGAACATAGACCGGAAAGAAAAGGCGGAGGCAGCTCTTCAATCAAGGAACCAGCTAACGAACGAGAGTGCTGCTATGTACATTGAGGACGTGGTCCGCCTGTTCAAGCGTGCGGATTACAACATGGCTGAGGATAAGAAGGTGCGCCATCTAATGCGCGGAGTGAAGCAAGAGCTGTTCGCCGTTCTCGTCCGCAACCCTCCGTGCACGGTTGCGGAGTTTTACTCGCAAGCGACGGCCATCGAAAAAACACTGGAACAGCGGGCTCGGCAGTACAACCGGAATCTTAACTGCGCATCTGCACAGGTATTCCCCGGAGGCGTGCGAAACGACGTTGAAGCCCTGCGAGAGCTAATTAGATCAGTTATCAGAGAAGAACTGAGCAGACTGCATATGCCCCAGACTTCAACTGCACTATCTGTTACGGACGTTGTTCGTGACGAACTGAGGCAGGTGATACGAGAGCCAGAGCGTGAGCTGCAGCCTATTCGACCTATCCGAACATACTCTGAGGTTGTCAGACAACCCACGGTACACAGCAATGCAGTAGTTGCGATGGCAACGACTCCTCTCCCACCTGCGGCACGCAGCGCACCTCGTCCACGGGAACCGACAGCTACCTATCTGCCCCCAGGAGCACGTAGCACACATCACTATGTGGAGCGTAGGCCCAGGAAAAGTGACGTCTGGCGTGATCACGAGCGCAGGCCTCTGTGTTTTCATTGTGTGGAAGCGGGTCATCTGTACAGATTCTGTCCTTACCGACAGGCTGGATTAAGAGGCTTCCCGTCATATGCACCGTGCCCCCGAAACGGCGAACGACCAGCGGAGATTGAGGAGTACTTGTCGACGCGCCAGAACTCGCCAACTCTACGCCAACACCGGTCACGGTCACCATCGCCTATGCGCTACCGGTCATCCAGCCCACGTACACCTTCAAGGCAGCCTGGTCATCGCTCTCCAAGCCCACACCCGGAAAACTGAAGCAAGCGACCTGTGGAGGTGAAGCCGCTGATAACGTCAGTTACGAAGATCCTCCAATTTGGTTTGAGGGTGATGACGGTGTATTTCCGGTAGATGGGTGCAGCAACGAAAACGTTACATCAGATTTGCGGTTGAGAATGGAAGGATGGGAGCTGAATGCCTTAGTCGACACCGGTGCTGATTATTCAGT